TAGTTAATTACGAAATCGGATATATTTCAGGTGAAGAAGTGCTCCAATAAGAGTGTTTGCACTCTAGATTTAGTAGTCAACTATTCAACTTGGTTCTAAATACCTAATCTACAAATTCTGATTAAAAAATTAAATTTAATGAATTAATTAGTCCGTGCAAAATTATGTATAAGAATTAGAAAGGTGGCCCCTTGACCTTTTTCATGTGATTTGGGCTTGTCGCCTTAATATGTATAACCCAAAACTAAATAGTAAATACAGATGTTGCAAAATTTGCTTTATTAAGGTGTAATTTAAGCCTTGCCCACCACATCTCATCTCATTCCTAATTGAACAAGGCAGAGGAGTCTCGAAGTCTATCATCAAAAGGATTCTACTCAGAAATTTTTAATAAACGAAACATAACTTGTATCCATAGCTAAAATCTACAAAATCTAGCACATATCCAAAATACTGCCAAAGAAAAGAGGAGAAAGCAGAAAACCAGTAACTCTGTGCAAATGGAAACACAGTTCATCTCATCACAAGATAATCGACCAAGTTGACTCCAAATTCAACCGTTTCAAGAATTTCGACGTTGAGCTCGGCCTCCGAAGGTTTATTACGGGCTCGACTTGAACCCGAGCCTCCGGCCGGACGGGAAAATTACCGTTTTACCCCTTTCGGAAAACAAATGGTACGACCGAACTAGCAAAAAGTGGAAATCGAACCTGATGCTCGTTTTTCGAGACGAGCTTAAACAACAGGACGATTTTTGGCGCTGACGTGTCAGAAGATGATGAGGGTCTTGAAAGAACCCCCCTCGGGTTTTCGAGACTTTGTGCAGGGGTATTTTCGGAAAATGGCTCACACCATTCTGTTGAACTTCAGGGAGAAGGAGTATTATGACTCTTTGGTGATGATCGATTTGTTTGTGAAGATGTTTAAGGTGTTTGAAGAAAATGGGGCTTACTGCAAACACCATTTATGGTTTTTGAGATTGATAGATGAAAATAATTGTTGTGGAGTGGATGTCAAGGCAACGATAAGGGAACTTGAGGAGGAGGTAAAAACAGTAGGTGTGAAAGAATCTACACTAATCTAATTAGTGTTCATTTTTTCATTTTTTTTTATTTTTCGATTCGATTTGATTCGGAAATGTGATTTAGCTAGTTAGCTGCCAATGTTTTTTAGCATTACATTTACATATTCAGTTATGAACTTATGAATACTCAGCTACTATCACATTTATGGTGGTACGTACATTGTGATTTAGCTAGGTAAACATTTATTCAGTTGATTAATTTTCAACTGCCAATTACTCTGTTCATACCCAAAAATAAAATTTAAGCTGGAAAAGTAACATAAAACCACATTAAAGATTGAAAATTCAAATTCCAATTGACACGTATATAATTATGTACAAAAGTTGTCTATGTGTGTTTGTGTGTGCACATTGAACTTGGAAATTAAGCTGGAAAAAGGAATAATCCAGGGTGGAATTAAGAGCTGTGATGAAAAGTATATGGCGGTGTGGTGAAGGTTTGATCAATTTTTGGTGGCGATGAATATATATGAGAATTGTTCATGTGGTTGCATGTGCATTTCGCTTGAGAATGAACTAACATGCATGCCCCAAACCCATATATAAAGATTAGGGAGAGTATAAAATAAAAGGGGGTAATAAAAATAGAATGAAATTAAGAAATATAAATTTATAATTATGGATAGATGTTGGTTTTAGACTGTCTAATTAAGTATGTCGATATATATACTTATGACATTAAGTATCATATTTGTGTTAGACCGTCTAATCGGTTCGAATATGTATATAAAGTTAATTCCTATGTGAACTTTATCAATTCAAGATGTGCTCAACTTAATACTTTATTTGTTTTAAATTGTGATGCGGGATGTTACAAGTTGCCTAACTATATTATTAAAAAAAAAAAAAGATTAATAAATAATTGGTGGAATTGGAAAAGGGACCTTTTGTTATCCTCATTGTCAACTATAAAAGGACTCATATTTGTGACACTTGAATGAACAAAACTTCTCCAACTACATATTGCAAAATACACTTTTGTACATTAATAAGCTTTCTTCAATACATTTCTTGAAAGAATTGCAGCTATTAACTGCATCTTTCTACAACATGGCCACCGGAAACTTTCCACAGCCTCGTCTTTCGTCCCAAAAACTAGCCACGGCTAGCGAAAGTTGCGATTTTAGCAACCCTTTGTGGAGAAAACGAAGTTTGGAACTTCGATCCGCGAGAATTTGCTCCGGAAATGTAGAGACGATGGGGAGAAGGGCGCGTTTGGATCGTCGTCGTGTTAGGCCACGAAATCCCATCGACAGAAAGGTAAGGATTCTGAAAAGGCTCGTTACGAATTGCGAGTCGAGCATTAATGGAGTTGAAGGGCTTTTCGAAGAGACTGCAAATTATGTTATGGCTTTAGAGATGAGAGTTAAGGTCATGAAGATTATGGTAAATGTATTAAAAGGTGATGGCGACGAGTGATTGTTTTGTTTTGTTATTGTTTTATTTTATTTTATATTTTGTGAGTTATTGAGTCGATTAATTTCTCCTTTCATTGAGTTGATTCTACCGGCAGGAGATTAATTTCTCCTTTCATTGAGTCGATTTTACCGGCAGCAGTTCGGATTGTATACTGACACATATATATGTATCATTGTGTGTTGGTCCAAAGATAAAATTTCGTGAGATAGTTTTGAGACAAATTTATAACATTAAAAAGATTTTCTGGCAAAACTTGGAACACGTCAAGTCCCATCCTGGAATTAGAAACTCTCAGCTACTTTTGAGCATAAAAATATTTCCCTTTTCACAACATTTTATACATCTTCAAGTATATGTGCAATTGATGGGCTTTAGAGTACGACATATAGACCAGGCTCCTCATAATTGGCATTTTGCAAGACCAGTATGAAATTAAAGCTACCATATTGAATTCAATTAATGACCCTTTTCAAAGTTAAAAGACAAGTTAATAAACATATTAATATACAAGTTGCAAAGTACCATAACTAAATGAAATTAGCTGTGCCACATTGCACGCAAAAGATCCAGATTACATTGCCGAGTTTCTCGTTTTCATCCCTCAGTAAAATTTTGCCGGCACAGATTGCCCTTCCCAGTACAGTGCTGCACAATAACACGATGCCGTGGCGTAGTTACAAATTAGAAAACATGCAATTATATTT